CCTGGTACATCGAGAATTCGTCTATGACCATTGCCATCCAAAATGTCCAACAATTGGTTACTGAAGGTCATTCAGGGTGGTGGCAGTTTCTACAGGCGAAAATTTCGCCTCCCCCTTCCCCCGACAAGGCATTAGTAATCGCTAGCGCAACGAGTAGAAACTTGATTATCCCACCTAAATGTACAGAGGTACGCCGCCCAGGGGGAGGGGGGACAGGCACGCGTCGTAATTGCTGATCTAGTGATACATGAGGAATAAGAGAATTATGGCCATCAAAAGCAAGCGCTAGGTTTTTTGGAGGTCATCTTCATCGTATGCCACCGAAACCGCAACACCTAATAACTGAGTGCCAGCTGCGTTAGGTCTCATTCAAAATCGACGACTAAAGCAAGGCGGAGCATGAAAGTAGCCCCTACACCCCGTAAGCCATACCGTTTTTTTTCAATTCTCTTTAGTACGCAGAATACAACCAACGTGAAAGGGGAGGTGGTCGTTCCGTCCTACTCAAATGACGAGGTGAGTCATCACGCGAATATCGAGCGCGGTCGCCCCGCCTTCTGTCCCTTCTTTTCTGTTCACGCCCTCTACAGCGACGTAGCATATGGTTCGCAGCGCACGGTGAAGCAGTGCGAGCGACCCACCGTACAAGGCCGATTTCAGACTTTGCGAATCCAGCGATTCGCTAACGAAGCTACGAGCGTTGCACCAGCGAACGAAGCTGTGTACCAGCGGATCGAACGAAGAAAGTCCACTTCAAAGGAACACACTGTTTGAAAGTGGCGGGACTTCCTTTAAACGTTGGGTCCCGCCACTTTCAAACAGTGTTCGAGTCGCTGGTACATCGTTCGACTCGCTGGCACATAGTTCGATTCGCTGGTGCACAGCTCGATTCGCTGGTGCAACGCTCGTATCCAGCGATTCGCTAGCGAATCGCTGGATTCGCAAAGTGTGACATCGGCCTTAAGGGAGAATTGAGCCACACTTAGGGTCGCAGACAGGGTCAAGCGTGCGTTGAAGATTCTCTGCCCGATCAGAGACGTTCTCTCGCGCGGACATTCACACTCGCCTGTGCGAGCCGTCTGTGCTCTCCGCGCGTACGTTCACTCTCGGCAGTGAGCGTCGCATGAGTAGAGAGCTATGGTTGAGGAAATCCTCAACGCACGCTTGACCCTGGTCGCAGACTTCAGGAATATCTTCATAGACAACAAAATAAATTCAACCAACCGCAGAGAGTACCAAATACTACGCAGACGCGCCGTCCGTGATTTGTGATTACAAATTATGTCTTGAGCCGATGCTGTGCACTTACCGACTGTATAAGCTCGGAACATTTGAACAACTGATCACTCCAAGTTATTCAAGAGCCTCAGTTTTTCACAGACAAGAAAGGTATTACTATGTCGATTACGATTAAATTGTATTTTATTTTATTAAAGTAGAGCCTGTGTCAGATAATTTTATATAACAACAAACTATCACTGATAGCAAAACTCGAATACAGACCGTATATTTCGTAGGTCGTGACCAGATTTGTTTTGGCGAATGACATTCTGGGTCAAACGGTGATCACTGCACTATCACTATAATGACTACTGACCAATGAGCGCATTTGAGCAAAACGAAAGATACTATCCCAGAAAAAAGGTGATTAAAGTAATTTGAGACGTGATGAGGGATTGTGAAAAAGCATCTAACGACGACGATTAATAATGACTTTTTCAACAACTTATTATTAAAAAATCAATAGAAAATCTCTAGGAGACAGGTGAAAAAGCCATTCGCGCATCCTAAGGGGGATTCAAGTGCGACGCTCCCACGTCGACATAGTGGATGGTCACATTGAGAACGACGTTGGTCAAGCTTCGACACGTTCCTAGTAAAACATATGGAAGACGGCTGACACCTAACGACAGTACAAACAATACAATCTAAATCTGAACATCCCTATAGAAAGTTGATGTGGTCAGAGGAAGCAATTCCTTGATATTCTGAACAAAATGATTTGATAATGCTTGCCGCAATGCAGACAGAGTTCATAATAGAGTGATGATCAGTTCAACTTTTCAGATTCTTTTCTTCTGCAATGCAAGGTCCGCTGGTGGTTCCACTAAAAAGGTATAAAATAATATAATCGTAAATAGAACGACATGAGCACACACGAACATCTGACCAAATCGTACCACAATGAAAAGCAGGCCTCGACATTTCATGCGATTATCTCACTGGTTTTCCGGTACAAGGGAAAATTTCACCCTCAAGGCTCCTTTGAAGAGTCTCTTTAGATGGTATGCTTTTCATGTTAGACAACACATAGACCGCGTTCATACTCAGCGAAAGGAAAGGATAGGATTTGATCATAACAACTTACATAAGCGTTTCGGCTACCCTGTACATACCTACCTGCGGTCATACCTTGAGACCCCTTGTAGAGCGAGTGTAGTAATGTGAACCGATCGCGAATGTCTTGCGAACGCACGACTACACGATTGATACATATCTAAGCCACAGTCGAGATTCGGGCGCGTACTGCCAAGGTAAGGCAGCGGCCTACTACGTATACTGTTACGAATCACGTTTTTACTAACATAGTTGCAAATATGTATCTAACCTTGTTCGGGTATCAACCGATTTTTCTCAATCGTCCAGAAACGCTGAGTATGAACGCGTCTTTATACACGAGGATAAAAACATGAATTAAGCGCATAGACATAGAACATGCTTCACTGGGACACACCTCATGCAATTTCCACTTTTTAATCGAACACACAGCTATCAAACTTCGAAGACCGTTTCAGTGTTCAGCACATCGTTCGTGATCAGCAAGCAGTGCTGTGATGAATATGATGCAACAGAGTGCACTGGCAGTCAGAATGAGCCTCCACAAATGCGGACATAACGACACAACGGTTTCACAAACATTCAGACAAACAAGACAAACACGTGACAAAGTTGTGACCAGGAAAACTGACCGAAAAGAATCTGTTAAGCGAACACATATCCCGATACCGTACAGGAAACACCACAAAGGAATACAACTATCTATCACTGCAATTCAAGTTTATGTATTAAATCACGCTAGGTAAAACAGTTGTAAATAAATTATTATACTATGAAACAACTTCAAATAAATAAAATTGCGCACACGCGCATAACAAACATGGAGACCATCTCATGTTTTGGCCACTCCAGACTCTATTTCCAGTTACAACTAAGTATCATGTAACAATTATTATTATTATTATTAATTCAAATGAAGTTGAGTTGCATGGGAACACACTAGTTCAGCAGGTATTTGGCAACAGGGCGACAAGATTAGAGACATAAAGTCAACGAAGATATAAAAGTATCTCGACGAAACCTATTGATTTGAGACATATACTAGCACAGATCAACGGAACAATAGGAATAAGCGGAAAATAAGGAAGACGGAAAGAATCCCGCAACGAAGCACCCGAACACCACAAGCTCCGTTTGCCAGCTAGGGGTTATCAAAACTGTGGGTAGCGAGGACTTTGGGGTGGAACGCTCACATACATAAACGAAACAATAAGTGTATGGAGAAGGCGCTAGAAACCCCTGATTTATGTGTAGACATCGCATGAGCAGCTTATGGAGAAGAAAACGGTCAAGACCGCCTAATACGACACTCCATTCGGTTAGTGGTTGAAAGGAAACATCACACGGTCGATGATAAGGAACAGATAATTTCAGAGGTCATTAGAGGATTATAGTTCGGTATGCACACGCATAGCCGGGCTACCAAACGCACGTTCAATACTCTTTGCATAAGGACCTAACATCCAACCGAAGTACGCACACCACACAGCACCAAGGCCGACCAAGGAGATGATCGACCGTATAGTGGCTGCACGACTAGGTGGCTTACCGTCGACGTAGTTGCGTGCGATGAATTTCAGTATTTCGTCAAGAAGTAAAACTGGGAATGAGATCTTTAACACTGCCATCCATTCGGCAATAGATAAAGGAGTGATCTGCAAAAAAATAAGTTGAAATAATGGGTACAGCTAAGAAAATGTTTAAACCCGATGTACCTGGAAGATGGTGGCCATGATGTCTACGTAAAGGATGACGAAGTGAAGCGACATCGACAATGCTATGGCGGAGCACAACCACATGTTCTTCCAGGGTGGCATTACAAGCAACGACTGGTTCTCGGATAACCTAACAAAATCAGCAATTGTCGAAAGATCAAGGTGGAGATGGGAAGAGCAGATCAATGAAACTAACGAGTTTACTGCGTTGAGCATTTCAATTGTTACGAGTACAGACAGGGCCATTGCATTCGGATGGTTATCTTCGAACACAGCACAGTCCAGATCAGCAAAGTTCTCAGGCTCAATCTGAAGCACCTTCGTTGAAGACGTGTTAAACTAGCTTAACTTGAACAAATACCTCGCATCTCATCCAGTGAGTAAGTTGGTAGTAAGTAATTTGAGGCCCATCTTCGTAAATGAGGAACCACCACATCGCCGCTCCAACAGTGGCAACTCCGACATAGGCTGAAATGCAATAAATGAAGAATAATATCAGGAATAATAATATCAGAATTCAAGAAAAACCACTTACTTCCAACTGCCAAATATCGGAAGAAGAGCCATCTGGAGATGAGTCCATCGCTTGCGGATCGTGGATGACGCTCCATAATATCCAAATCGGGAGGATTGAAACCAAGCGCAGTTGCTGGCAGACCATCAGTAACCAAGTTCACCCACAATAGTTGGACGGGAATAAGAGCTTCCGGAATACCAAGAGCAGCGACAAGGAAAATTGACACGACCTCTCCGACGTTTGACGAGATCAGGTACCGAATGAACTGCTTCATATTGTTGTAAATAGCACGGCCCTCTTCAACTGCAGCAACGATCGACGCAAAGTTGTCATCAGCCAGAACCATTTCAGATGCCGACTTAGCGACAGCAGTTCCGGATCCCATTGCAATTCCAATTTCTGCTTTCTTCAGTGCAGGTGCATCATTCACACCGTCTCCAGTCATAGCCGTGATCTGCAAACAAATTAAAGTGCCGTCTGCTCTAGTTCTCCTATCTCAGATGCCGCAGTTATTTCATAACCATGTCGAGCATGGGTTCACTATACCCCCAAAAAGCTATAAAAAAGAGACATTTATCAAATCCGAACAAACTGTTTCCACTGGGGATTAAGCTCACACACAAGGAAGTGCTCCACCTGGTTATGTTGCAAATAAGGCTTACAAAAAAAGGAATACCCATGAGAGCTTCACAAATTTTGAGGAACATGTGTCCTACGAAACTTTTGAGAACGACGACACAACTACAAAAAATCTCACTGCGGCTTTAAAACCACTGTACCAACCTCTCCGTGACTTTGCAGAATATCGACGATTTTTGATTTATGAGCAGGTTCGACTCGAGCAAAAAGTTTTGCGCGTCTGCAAGCGTCTGATTGCTGCTCAGGAGGAAGATCGTCGAATTCGCGTCCAGTGAATGACTGCAAAATCAGGAGAATAATTCTATTATGATATAGCTAAAAGCACCAACGCCAAAACTAACAAGGCCTGTGGTGTCCTCGTCCTCAGTGAAAAGACCAATACGTCTTCCAATAGCTTCTGCTGTGTTCTTATTGTCACCAGTGATCATGATCACACGAATACCGGCATGATTACATTCCCTGATTGATTTCATAACCTAAATCAACTCACCCTATGACCGATGCACCAGAAAACTTAACGGTGTGTGACTTACCTCAGTACGCGGAGGGTCGAGCATGCCAACCACACCGACAAACGTGATGTCGCGCTCGTACTTCGTGAACTGCGATGCCTCTTCAAGGTTCATTTGATTTGGGTGAATCGGATTATCAATGGTTCCCAGAGCTAGACAACGAAGAGTATCTCGTCCAGTACCATACTGCACACATTTTTCGACAATCTTTTGCGTCATTGCAGGCGTGAGCGGTACTTTCTGGTTGTTAACTCGCACATGAGTGCATCTGCCGAGTACTCCTTCTGGTGCTCCTTTTACAAACATCTTAGCACCAGATCCTCCTGTGGCCGGGACACAGTACGAGGACATCGATTTGCGATCGCGAGAGAACTCCAGGGTGAACTCCTGCGCAACAGGTAATCTCAGGTTGATGCGAACAAGGAACGAAGTAGAAGTAAGTAATTACCTTTTTCCACTTTTGCTGAATAACTCGGTTGCAGACGTTACCAAGGTCACGAGCCGACAATCCTGATTTTGGTGTACCATATACATTCATCTTCTCAGCAAGAACAACCAGTGCTGTTTCAGTTGCTTCCCCGACCTTGAAACATTATTGAAGTGACTCCTCATTATATCACTCCAAAACGAACACAACTGCTAGAATTAAAAAGACTCATATTTCCAAAATGCGAAAATGATATATTAACAAGACATGAAATACTTCATTTAGCCAGCAAATATAGAAAAAAAAACAGGTGATTCGGCCTTCACAGTTTTTGATAACGTTGTTCTTGCCGACCAGTTGGTAACTTTTTAACCGAACTCTACCGAATTGGAATATGAAAAACTTTTGAAGCTTTTGAACTAACAACATTCAAGTCTATTGAACCTGAAGTGTCTCGCAAAACGACGATCACGTGATATGAGATTAAAAAGTTGAAATCGAACTCAGAATCAATCTTACCTTCTCGTAGACCTTCTTGGTGTCGTTATAGTCTACAGCAGAGTCGTTACACATAGCACAAATGGTGGCAAGTTCAGTGAGTGCATCGAAATCACCACCCGCACAGTTAACCTGAAGCGTGGCGTTGCAGAAAGGGAAATACAAACTGGTTCAAAATCAACAAATACCTCTTTTCCATGGAAGAAAACTTTTCCAGAAGGTTCATAAGTCGAACCAGTGATGGTGAACTCGTTGAAATCAATGTTGTCGCCCGATGCATGCTCTGCGATGAACATTTTTGACACAGACATTTGATTTGTCGTCAATGTTCCGGTCTACAATAGAATTCATATCAATGCAACCTTACTTTGAGCTTGAGTTGAAAGTTTCATGTTTTTTTTTCATGTTCTGAAAAGTCCGCGAGAAATTAAGTGAGGGATACCTTGTCAGAGCAGATAACTGAAGTACATCCGAGAGTTTCCACAGAAGGCAATGATCGGACAATAGCATTCTTCTTTGCCATCCGCCGAGTACCGAGAGCAAGGCAAGTGGTAATGACTGCCGGGAGACCTTCAGGAATGGCTGCTACGGCAAGTGCTACAGCGATCTGTGAAATGAACCAGTGAATCATCTCTGTACACAAATAATGAGGAGCACTTTGAACTCACCTTGAAATAATAGATGGCGCCTTTGATCCATGATCCACCGTGCGCAGGATCATTGAAGTGACCGATATTGATGGCCCACACTGCGACACAGATGATGGAGATGACCTTTAATAGTGAGCAACTTTACTGACTTAATCTTAGGTCGAACGAATCCAATCCGCTATAAGGTATTAATACTCGTGTTATTGTATTTGTGTCTTATTTCTAAAACAAGCGGCGTACCTTAGACAACTGCTCGCCGAACTCGTCAAGTTTTTGTTGAAGTGGAGTCTTGTCGCTTTCGGTTTCAGCCATTTCTGTCCGGATTTTTCCGATCTCGGTCATCAGTCCAGTACCAAACACTATCCCTCGGGCCTAAGCAACGGGAATAAGTGACATGTAAGTGAGAGTCGTATTAAATCTGGTCTCTTACCTTTCCGGAGGCAACATTTGTACCGGAGAACAGACAATTCTTTTTGTCCTGATTGACAGCTCGAGCATCAGGAACGGCCTCGGTGTGCTTGATGACTGACACAGATTCACCAGTGAGAATAGACTGGTCGATACGTATCGTTGTCGAGTATATCTTTAGCAGTCGAAGGTCAGCGGGAATCTTGTCACCAACTAAAAAGCGATCTTATCGAAATGTTCAGAAAACATATAGAGATTAGGAAATAGCATTGTTTATAATCATTCCAATGTTCTGGTGAACTCATCCCTACAAAGCTGTGAATGATACAATGTAATAAATGAAGTTTAGGCGGGAAAGACTTAATGAATATTGTTATTTGTGTGTTTGTAAACCGATGAAGAAGACAGAAATTTGGTCTAAGAAGAACGAGGACGTTAACGTACCAGAAACTTCAACAAGGTCTCCTGGAACAAGTTCACGTGCCCGGATCATTTGGATGCCATGGCTTCCTGCTCGCACAACTTTGGCCATCTCCGGTTCATATTCTTTTAACGCCTCTATAGCGGATTCGGCATTTCGTTCCTTCAAAGATCAATAAATCTGCCTAGGTTGAGGAGTCGATATAACTCGTTTAAAATACAGATGGAGAGAATGCGGAAGAATAAGCAAAATAAAAGTTACCAGTAAACAAGCAATGCTACTCAAATCTATTTTACCTGCCAAACTCCGACTGTAGCGTTCGCGATGAGAATAAGGAGAATAACGAAAGGTTCAACGAACGCGGTAACCGCAGCTGTTTGGTCATCATGTTCCTCAAACAGGGCTAAGACCTGAAAAGAAGTACTGTTAGAGCTAATGTTCTATTCACTCGCTCTACAGAAAGAATTGAGCTATTGCTTGTCGACCAAGAAAAATAACGTCGTCAAAACTAATCGTTAAAAAAAGACATTCGCTGTGAGGAGCGCAGCTGTTGCATGCTGTGCAGAGAAAGCAGCAGGCGGGAGCGACTATGATCTCGATGCAGCATTCAAGGATAACAAGTGATTATGGAAGTCTTCTTACTAAGCAAGTATGACCTGTGAGGAAAGCGAGCGAAAGCAATCAAAAAGCACAATTAGGTCCTCATTACGTCAGCTAATCAAAAGTTTCAACTGACAAGTACAAGAAAAGTTACAACATGAACAAAAAAGAAGAAAACAAACGAAGTCCAACAAAAATGGCTAACGAAAATTCACTCACAAAAGAGATGATAGCGGCGAGAAGAAGAATCTTTACAAGGAGATCGTCAAACTGTTCAAGGATAAGTTCCCAAATAGACTTTCCTTCTTCCGCGGGCATTTCTAAAAGGCAGAAAATTTCTCTGAATCACAAATACCGGTCAAGAGCAATTGGTAAACGACAGGCTAGAAAACTTTCTTTTTCCCTCTTAGTAAACAATCCCGACACTTTCAAACCGAAGTCCTCAAATATCGCACCTCCGCAAAGATCAAATAGAACTGAAACTTACCCTGACATTCACGTCAATTCAAATATTATACTGACGCACTCATGTGACAGGAGATTTTCGAAAGAGCATACAACTTGCAGCTTCAATGTGATCAGGAATCAGTGAAAAGAATTGTGGAAATAGGTCGAACCTACGACCGCTTGATCAAAGGCAAATCTTTTAAAACCCATCTTTCACCCCGAAAAAAAAGCCATACATCACCATGGATTGGGAAACCTCACTCCGAAATGATAACTGGCTGTGGCCATAAAATAGGAACTATTCAAGCCCCGATAAGTTCCTTCTTTATTGTGATAGGTTGCTTTCAAAAGTCACCTAGCGCTTATGTAACAACACGAGCACAGCTGTTATAATCTGCATAAACACATAAACAATGGTCGCCGACTAGTTATTGAGTCATAGATACTTTGATCATGCTCATAAACATAAAGCTGATAAAAACGTACCATTGAAGCCATACTTCTCTCTTTGAGCCTCTACCTGGCTTTCTGTTAACCCGTCTGGTCCCACATTGAAGAAGCGGCAAACCTATAAGTATTCAGAGTAATCAAACTCTACAGCGACTTAACAAAGGTACCGGATACTTGGAGGATTCTCAATAAATCTTACCTCATCGCCCGTCTTCGCATGAGCATCTTCCATACTGGCGCTAATTCACCCAAGCGGATGGAATGCCCTCCGGATCTGGAAAAAAAATGCTGAGCGCTCAAAAGAATATGTAGAAAAATGCGAAATCAAGCGATAAACATTGGTTTGAGACGCCACTTGTATGAAGTTATAAAAACGAGATTTCTTAAGGAGAATACGGCACAACTGAAATAAAAGCGATATTGTTGGAGATTCGAATCTGTGAGGACAATATAAAACGAGGACCGTAGAACAGAAACAAGATGTATTGTTTTCTTCCTTCGTAGAAAAGATTCAAAGGACAAAGTGGCTCTATTGAGAGGAGTTTCCGGTGAATTAGTGTCGCTGGCGAACTTTTTGCTTAAGTGAACGGACTTGACAAGGGATTTTTTCGGGGAGATCGATGAGAAATAGGTTGTGGGCGAGGGTTTTTTAAAAGATGGCTTATCGCACAGTTCATTGATCACAGAGATTTTAGAAATTGCTAATGATAACGAGTAGAATCGGTGACGGATGGCGTCATTCATCGTCAGCATTCAAATGACGGTAATTGCGTGGTGGGACCGACCTGAGCCGTCGTCGCGCCACCGTGTCATCGGCCATTTGGCGTATTTCCCAATGAAAAATTATGCGGTTATTTGCGTATAGAAAAAGATAACGTCGCAAAAATGTGAAATTGAGCGGCTGACTGGCAGTAGTTGTTGTATGGCAAGGCGCAGATGCTGTGTGTGGTGCAGAGCAGAGTGTGTGATGTTAGTGGATAAGCAATAGGAGGCTGGGGCGTAGCCGAAAAGCCAACTGTCTCCGGCCGGGGCTGCGCCTGAGTTTTGCCCGCTCTTGCCTCCGGACTCGGCCCCGAGAAAAAAAGAACCGAAAAGCGCTCACCTTCTTTACATTGCCCCATCGGAAAATCCGGGCTGAGAATCGATGAAAACGTGCCGATTGGCAAACGCTGCCACCCGTTATTTCAGAAAACACCGACAAACGACCTACACGCCATAAAGCACCCAGCGCATTTATCTGGGATTTGTTCCCGATCGATACAACCATTTCCGACTCCCACGCGGAAAATTTGCAGCTTGGCAAGTTCACAGCTTTTTTTTCGTCTTGCTCATGTGATAGTTATGCTCGATTAAACTTGAACGCGAGGAGCTTCCCACAAGAGATGATTGGCGACGTCATAAGGGAGAGAAATCCCGGAGAGGTGGCAGTCGCCAGGCGGAGAAGAAGCGGGCCGTAATCATTTACAGATTTCTGAGCTGGATTGATCGCTGCCGGCCTGATTAAAAGCACATGAACATCTGCTCACAGCTCAGTAACGACTTAATGGCACATTCCACCATATTGATGCTATTGCTTAGTGAGTTTCAAATATGAAGCACTGAATGCGATGTGACGCAAAAATAACGAAAGAAACAAAAGGAGCTGCCAAAGTTGCTCTGAATAAGGCCCCAACTTTTAGTTGACGATGTTAGTGGCCACGGCACAAAAGTGAGTGCGCGTCCGGACGAGAGACTCTAGCGACGAGAGGACAAGCGAGGACTGTAGTGAGAGAGACGCAGATGGAGTTGGGCTGCCAGAGGCGGAGTTGACAGCATATGGGGTCTAATATGGTCCTAAGTGGCCCGTGAGTTATATGTTTGAATTACCCGAATTATGAAGTGAGATGCTCTACGGTGGTCGGAATTTTGGAATGCGCCATGCATTCGATTCTGTTCAGAAGCAAAGAGATACGTAATTTTAGGATGTGCCACGCATTCGACTTCTGTGCAGGAACGAAAGAGATTCTGATGGGAAAGGGTTCTAGTGGAGCATCATTCGATGTAGACAGCTAGGTTGACATGGGCAGTATGCGATCAGTGAGCTGCATCTT